CCTCAGCCACGTGACAGAAGGAGAGCCTGGTCCTTCACCTGCACACAATCCCCTGCTCATCGAGGAGGGCCCCTGCCTCATGCAGTTGTGCAACCTGTCCCTTTCCCACCTTCTCATCTTCCCTAAAGCACTTATCTGCACCTCCAACCTCCCTTCTTGCCTCCCATCATCAAAATGTCTCATTCATAAGATACACACTGCTCTTCCTCCTCTAACTAGCATCCCCACATGGATCAGGAAAGCCAAAGGTTGTCCCCTTCTTCCAAATATGCCTGCCAGTGCCCAGCCCAGTTGTGCGCTTTCCAATGATGTAAACGTCCAAGTGCACCTACTTACCCAATACCAGCATGCACAGGATAAATCAAGACGGATTGGGCACATGCAAAATACATAACTCGGTAACTACATTTTCTATGAGCATGCGTCAAACTCAATGTGTAGGGAGTCATCAGAGTCATTTCTGTAATTGTGCAAACACTCAATATTTGCCCCTCGAAGCACAGAACATGCATCAATCCTATAGGCTAATGATTATTTCCAGTTCACTCCAGACTCCTTGCCAAAATCTCCTCTTTTTTTTTTTTTTTTTTGACACAGGGTTTTGCTCTGTTGCCCAGGCTGGAGTGCAGTGGCATGGTCATAGTTCACTGCAACCTCTGGTTCCCAGGCTCAAGCAGTCCTCCCACATCAGCCTCCCAAGCTGCTGGGATTACAGGCATGCACCATAATCCCCCACTAATTTTTGTACTTTTTGTCAAGAGTAGAGATGAAGTCTCACTGTGTTGCCCAGGCTGCTCTCAAACTCCTAGACTCAAGTGATCCACCTGCCTCAACCTTCCAAAGTGTTGGGATTACAGGCGTGAGCCACCATTTCTGGCATATAATCTATTTTTGATGGTTGAAGTGGCAGCTATAATGCTTCCCTCCATCCCTCAAGTCTGTGAGAAAGAGGTTCTTGATGTATCCTCAACGGGAAAGTCACATGGCGTCACATCTGAGGATTTGGGACCACACTTTTAGGGGCAGGTTGTCTTGTGCAAAATGTTATTCAAGTGACCTCTGGACTCCACAATTGACCTGAGGTAGAGCCCTGTCCCGCTGGAAAATGGAGTTGTGAGACTTCCTGTGGCTGTAGAGAAAGCCACTCATGGATCATGTTCAGATATGCAATGCTGTCAGTGTTCTCTGCAAAAAAAAAAAAAAAAAAAAAAATACACAGACCATGTGTGTGAAAATTGAGAAACAGAAGGGAAGCTCCAGAGCTAGGTGCATATTGCATATTCATAAACAACATGATTACTAAGTAATACAATTTTGAGGCTTTCAAGACTTTCTGAACCACTAGGTCTACCATAGAAGGCTGCACGTCTCACACCAGCCTTCGTGCTACTGTCTATGTTGCTTACATGTGTGGCTGCTGGTGTTTCTCTTTCAGTGGGTGCTCCCTAGGGACAGGCCTAGCTCCCTGGGATTCCCTCTGAGAAGCATCATCCTGCAATGTGGCTTGCAGGATTAAGCACTGAGTCTTAAAGCTTTTGATGATGATGACAATAGCCTCTCCCTCATTCTCATCTGCCGACTCCACCCTGAGAGGCAGAAGGCCTAGGCAAATCTTCTTTGAGGCAGACTTTCCAGGAGCTCAGACTTCAGGAGCTCCCTCCTGCCCTCCCTGCAGACTGGGAACAACTCAAAAGTGCAGATTAATCCCTGGGCCTGGAACAAATGCATTCTGCATTCCAAGGCAATCAGAGGCAGCTCCCACCTGAAGGGAGGCTCTCCCGGCAGAGGGAAGAGGCTGGGTTCAGCTGTCCCCTGGGGAGGAGGCTGGCTGTCATCCTGCTTACTCATACTGCGAGCTTTGGTTTCTCTCACATAGTTGCCTGAATGATCACCCTTTGTTGTAATCTTATTATGAAGGTTGTGCCTTCCCCACTCGACTCCTCTAGGGAAACAGAACACCTCTGGGCACCACCATGGGACATAAGCCATGGTCACCAGAGAGTTTTCATCTGAGAATAACCATCCAGGGTAGATGGGGTGGCCTGCCTATGAACATGACCCTTTCCTGGGTGCTAAGGCAGAGAAAGAGTAGAGAGGGCGGGACTCACAGGGGAGAAAAGAAACAGGGCCCAGCCTAGGGCAGCTGTCTGAAAGCAGGCCAGGAACAATAGGCACCTCCCACACCCGGACAAAGAAAAGACAGAGACAGTCAATGGCAAATGAGCCAGGTGCAAACTACCCTTTAGGGGTGGTGGGGGCTGGGAAGAAGTGGAATCAGAAATAGATCTTCCAGGGGCAGCAGGATTCCCTCCTCTCTAACTCCCCCTCCGCTGTCTTAGAAGCCCCTCATCACCTCTCATGAGTCCTCCCAGCTGACCTCACTCTCTGGGATCACTGGACTTGGTTCCCAGAGCATGCCTGGCAGGTGGGAATGGGGATTTTTTTTTAAAAAAAAACTCTTAGTAGATACATTAGAGAATGTCATATAAATCTAGCAAAAGGAGATACATTTGTGTCAGGAAATTAAACACGGCACTTTGTATCGCTGGTGCTGTCTGATGCACATGACAAGCCTGTGATTGAATAAGATGTTGAAGTTAAATCGTCCTCCAATAGACTGAATGAATTACACTACATGTTTTATTCAGGGATGAGTTCACCCCCACACTTAAAAAGACAGAAACACTTTAGTGAAAAAGGAACTGATGCAGTTGGGTGTGCTGGTCAATGGCAGCTGCCCCTGTGTGCATACCCCAGAGAACAGCCTGAGACCCAGCAGAGGATGGGAGGGGGAACCTGACTCCAGAAGAGGGAGAGCAGCCTTCTGGGCTCCTGTCAAGGACTCAGAGGTTGGATCCTCTCTCCAACCATGTGTCCTTCCAGTCACTCAGACAACATGCTGCCTCCCCCATCGGGTGGAGCTCTGTCTGTCCCACGCTGCTGCTCAGCAGAGTGGCTGCAAGCTTGCAAATTGCTTTTCTGATCCTGTTGCTCTTCTGCCTGTTGCTCTTCTGCCTTCTGCGGCTCTGTGTGGCCTCTGGGAGCAGGGCAAACCTCTATACATGGCTTCCTAAGTCCTTACTAATGTGGCACAAGCCTGCAATGTTGGTTTTATTTATCTTACCGTTCTCTGAACCACCTCCTTCCCCCACACACGTACCCTGCACTTGTGTCCCTGTTCTTGATGCTTCTTGTGGGCAAAATGTCTTCATACTTCCCTATGATAATATTAGCTCACCTTCGGTGAGAAATTATATGCCAGACACCATGCTAAGACCTTCAATTAATTATCTCACTTAAGCCTCACAATAGCACTCTGAGGCCAGTGCTATGTTCACTCCCAGTTTACAGGTGTAAAAACAAGGCACAAAGGGGTTAAGAAAGTGCATAGAGACACCCAGGCGCTTGGTCATCAGCCTGAGCACTCTGACTCCAGAGTCCATGCTCTTAACCGGGGGTTGGCAAATGTTTTCTTTAAAGGGACAAACTGACTATTTTAGGCTTTTCAGGGCATACAATCTCTGTTGCAACTACTTAATTCTGTCATTGTAGCTTGAAAGCAGCGGTGGACATTGGACATTGACACAGACATAGGACACTGGGTAAATGCATATAACTCCCACCTGACTTGCCAACCCTTCTTACCCATCCTAGCATCATTCATGCCAACCCTAAAGCCTCTATCCCAAGAGAGTGGAGTGGGTCAGAGCACATACCAGAAGGAACACTTCTTTCCCAGAACTGGGTGGAAGCACATTCTTGGTCAACCATTGTGCAACCAGGGTGGAGGGAGGGGAGCTGCTTCCGTTGTCTTGAGAAGGTATCTCGTTCTTGCCAGACGCTGAGTTAGCACCTCCTTTAGACAGGGAACACCCTGTTCTCCTGGATGCTGTGTCCCCCCCTCCAAATGTTGGAGAAATGGGACTGCTTTTAAAATAGTAACAAGAGCTTTCCTGAGGCTCTTCTTAGCGTGGGAGTTTGTCCTTCCTCCTACGGTTGCTCATTTATCCATAGGTTCTCACAGAACAAGATTGCCCAGGATTGCTCTCCATTCTCCTCATACACAGTGCTTAATGCATGGACTGGACAAAGTGAAACTCATTCCTCTCTAAACCAAGCACACTGACCTTTGACAGTCTGCCCACCCTCTCAGAAGGTGTATATGGATTTGAGATTTCAAGCACTGAGATCAGAAATTAAAATGTGGAATTGACATGTTACATCATCACACTTGTAAGGGCACATTTTTATGATTCACTGCTTCCATACACCCCTCGACTTTCCCTACACACCCCATTCAACTGTCTGACTCTTGATTCTTAAGAAATGTCAAAATCTGTGGGAATAAAAATCCAGTGAATTCCTTAATGATTTTTGTTCCACTCATTTTCAGTTGTTTAAATTACGCTCTATGTAAATATTCCAAAACAGCAGGGAGAAGGTGTCTATGAATTTCAACTGGAAAGGCAGATTTACATGAGACTAAGCTCAATGGGAAAGCAAGCACTGGAGAGGGAGGTGCAGACATGGAAAGAAACTCCTTGCAGATGTGAGGTCTCTGGGCACCGTGGGCAATGTCTTCTCCCATCGTCTTAGGTAAACGCCACATGGGCAGGTGATCACACAGCACACAGAGCAAATGTTGCTCCTACAGTGTAAACACTCAACGCCTCTGTCCCTCTTGCCTGACAAAGGAGGGTTAGAGCTCCAAAGTAGACCCCATTCCTATGTCCAGGATGCCAGGGAGGACAGCCGGGAGCTCCAGAAGAACTGGTCCAAATGCAATGGAAAAAACACAACAGGCCACTTCTTGCTCAGGCCATCGGGCAAATGCCCATTACACCCTCAGGAAGGATCCCACTCAGTGGGTGAGGCTGGTGCCAGTGGAGGAGAAAACCTGTGTGGGAAGGGGGCACACAGGGAGTGTCTGATGAAGAAGAAGGAGGGGACAATTATCACAGATCAGCTCCTTGTCTCCTTTGTTTGAGGACATGACTAACTCATGACTTCAGTGAATGTATACCCAGGCTTATTGCGTTAGGATCAAGTCAAGGCTGGAAGGCAGGAGAATTTCTCTATGACTAAAGGAAGCCAAAAAGCAATCTTCATATTTCATACCTTTCTAGAAACTGGGTGTGATCTCACTGTTGGTAAAGCCCAGCCCTTCCCAACCTGCAAGCTCACCTTCCAGGACTGGGCCCAGCCCATGCTCTCCATATATAAGCTGCTGCCCGGAGCCTGATTCTTAGTCCTGCTTCTCTTCCCTCTCACCTCCAGCCTCTCACGCTCTCCACAGCCCTCTCATCTCCTGGAACCATGGCCAGCACATCCACCACCATCAGGAGCCACAGCAGCAGCCGCAGGGGCTTCAGTGCCGGCTCAGCCAGGCTCCCTGGGGTCAGCCGCTCTGGCTTCAGCAGCGTCTCCGTGTCCCGCTCCAGGGGCAGTGGTGGCCTGGGTGGCGCATGTGGAGGAGCTGGCTTTGGCAGCCGCAGCCTGTATGGCCTGGGGGGCTCCAAGAGGATCTCCATTGGAGGGGGCAGCTGTGCCATCAGTGGCGGCTATGGCAGCAGAGCCGGAGGCAGCTATGGCTTTGGTGGCGCCGGGAGTGGATTTGGTTTCGGTGGTGGAGCCGGCATTGGCTTTGGCCTGGGTGGTGGAGCCGGCCTTGCTGGTGGCTTTGGGGGCCCTGGCTTCCCTGTGTGCCCCCCTGGAGGCATCCAAGAGGTCACCGTCAACCAGAGTCTCCTGACTCCCCTCAACCTGCAAATCGACCCCGCCATCCAGCGGGTGCGGGCCGAGGAGCGCGAGCAGATCAAGACCCTCAACAACAAGTTCGCCTCCTTCATCGACAAGGTGAGCCAGGGCATTACCCTCCATAGAGCACTTCAGAGTCCCCTAGACCAGAGACCAACCACAGTGCGCTTGGGGGCCTGGGAGGGAGGAAGAGGGACTCAGTGCAAGTGGCTGCCCATGCACAGCCGGCAGCAGACAGACATCACTCCCACATGGGATCTCCAGATTGGTTCTGCTCCTGCCTGGGAGAGCCATAGCTTTTCATAACCCTGAAGCACAGATGATGCCATCAGAAGTGGGTAGGTAACTCTTCCCTCTGACATCCTAAGAAAATACCAGGAGTACACAGGCTATTAAATTACACTCTGTATGTGGTCTGGGTAAGATGAAAAAAATTGGAAACAAAAGAAAGGATATTTTGGCTAGATTAAGAGAAAAAGACTTCAGACACTTACACGTTATGTGGAAATGTTAATTAATCCTCAAAACAAAGAATGACCATAACATCAGGATGTTTTAGAGGAGACACTTGCACAAATGGTGTGAGACTGGAATCGAATCACTGGGCAACTTTAACACTTCTTCTAACTGAGTCTATCCATAATAAAAACTGTGTAAAATTTATCAGATGAATAATATTTTATAACTATGTTTGTGATTGTGGCTGGGAAAGGAAGGAAAAAAGACATGTGGAAACTCTAATATGTTCAATAACTTAGAGTGAGAACATCTCAATGGTCGTGGGACAATTTCTCTAGTGAGATTGGTGGGGTCCAAAGGAGGAGAAGGGGTTGGGGGAGCAGAGCCCAGCCTGAGCCTCTCTACATGCACTGTAGTAGCCCAGCACCATGGGGACCTCCTGGATGAAACCGATATCAGACACTTTTCTCCTTCCTTGGCCTGGAAAATGACCATCTTGCTTCCCCCTCCAGGTCGGTTCCTGGAGCAGCAGAACTGGGTTCTTGGAAACCAAGTGGACCCTGCTGCAGGAGCAGGGCACCAGGAACCGTGAGGCAGAACCTGGAACCGTTGTTCGAGCAGTACATCAACAGCCTCGGGAGGCAGCTGGACAGCATGCGTCGAGGCAGGACGCCTGGACTCGGAGCTCAGAGGCATGCAGAGCAGGACCTGGTGGAGGACTTCAAGAACAGAGTAGGTTAAATGGGAGAAATGGACTCAATTTCCTGCGGCACACACTTCTTCAAGACTATTGGGTGACCAGGGCAGATGGGGTGGGATTCCTAACAACCCGCTGTCCATGGAAACGAAGCACAAAATTAGTCCCTAGGAGCAAACCTGCAAGAACCACAAATGGTTATGAGAGGATCAGCGAGATTAAAGTGACAAATTTGGGAAGCAAAAATCGTCCCTTAGGTGCTCTGTGGCAGGAAAGCTCAATTAGAATATATTCAATTTGGGAAAATGTTGGATCCCAGGCTGCTTTTCTGTTTCATCCTACCCACTGGCTCTAATATATCCCATGCCTTCCTTCCTGCAGATATGAGGATGAAATCAACAAGCGCACAGCAGCAGAATGAATTTTGTGACTCTGAAGAAGGTGAGCAGATGAAGTCGGGGTTCAAATTCACTTAGAAGGACAGAAGTGGTTCTGTGTCGTCACTCACCTGGGAGGAAATCGGTAGGGGGACTAGAAGATGGGTAGATTGGGAAGCTGCGCTCAGGTAACTCCAGGCTATTGGCTCTTTCCCCAGGATGTGGATGCTGCCTACATGAACAAGGTTGAACTGCAAAAAGCCAAGGCAGACCTCTCACAGACGAGATCCAACTTCCTGAGGCAGCAGGCAGTAGCGTCTCCACCATCCTTCTGTTTACTCTGATGGGGTCTGCAAAGGGGAGAAGATGTATAGGGCTGGGTGTCTCTCTGTAAATGTCTGAGTAAAGTTGTCTTTGTTCTGTTCTGGGAGCTGTCCAGATGCAGACCCACATCTCAGACACATCCGTGGTGCTGTCCATGGACAATAGCCGCAACCTGGACCTGGACAGCATCTCGCTGAGGTCAAGGCCCAATGCAGGAGATTGCTCAGAGGCAGGGCAGAGGCCGAGGTCCTGGTACCAGACCAGGAGTGAGCAGAGAGTGGGCCTTCGCTGAGGAATCCCCTGTGTCCAGCCCTGAATGCCCAGAGAACTGCAGACTTCGTGAGGACACATCCCCTTACAGGAAGCCAAGGTCCTCTCACAGGACATGCACCTGCACTATTAGAGTGAGCATTTGGAACTTATGCCCCCAGAATCAAAGGGGAAGAAAAAAGAGCCCGATGCAGGAAAAACTACCATAGGCAAGGACCTAGTCATCTCTGCATTTAGCTTCATCCTGATTGCTGACTTTTAGAAAATGGTACAGAACATTTCTACTCCCCTAACGAAAACTAGGCAGGCAGCGGTGCCATAATGAGGATGGTCTGTGACTCTAGTGTTTAGTATCCACCCACCACATAACATCAGCTTTTCCTCAAGTTCAGGAGAAGCCATTAAGTTCACTTCATGACATGCATGATACACAAGTGAAAGATCATCGTTAGCCAGGTAAGAACCCGTGAGCCTGTCTCTCTCTCCACCTCTGGACTGCAGTACGAGCTGCAGGTCTGAGGCGAACTGAACATGGGGACGACCTGCGCAACACCAAGCAGGAGATTGCTGAGATCAACCGCATGATCCAGAGGCTGAGATCTGAGATCGACCACGTCAAGAAGCAGGTAAGGTGAAGGGCAATGGAGGACCGAAGCATTTTTCTTGTCATTTCTCAGGCAGTCATCAGCCATTATATTAGGGAAAATTCCTGGAACTAATGAAAACCAGGAGAGGAGACTATCAGTTCCCTGCCCTTGGTGGGTACCCACTGATTAGGAGACACGGATCCTACCTAGGGCATGACACAAACAGATTGAGAAGAGAACCAGTCAGGGTGCTCCAGAGCTGCAAAAACATGGTTTCCCAGATCCAGGAGCGTCCAATCTTTTGGCTTCCCTGGGTCAGTGGAATAGAAGAACTATCTTGGGCCACCGCAAAATACACTAATACAAACAATAGCTGATAAACTAAAAACAAAACAAAACAAAAATGTACAGTCTTGTCCTGTTTGGCTCATGCCTGTAATCCCAGCACTTTGGGAGGCTGAGGCTAGTGGATCATGAGGTCAGGAGTAGAAGTAAGCCTGACCAACATGGTGAAACACTGCCTCTATTAAAATACAAAAAAATTAGCCAGGCATGGTGGAACGTGCCTGTAGTCCCAGCTACTCAGGAGGCTGAGGCAGGAGAATCGCTTGAGCCGCAGAGGCGGAGGTTGCAGTGAGCGATTATCACGCCACTACACTCCAGCCTTGGTGACGGAGCAAAACTCTGTCTCAAACAGAAAAAGAAAAAGAAAAAAACTCTCATAATGTATTAAGAAAGTTTAAGTATTTGTGTTGGGCTGTATTTAAAACCATCCTGGGCTGCATGTGGCCCATGGGCTATAGGTTGGACAAGCTTGGAAGGAATTGGATGTATTTCCATAGGAAGACTGACTTGGAAACTGCAAAGGAACAAATTGAAAAAGAATAGGGCAGGTAAAAGAAAGCACAGGAATGTTGTTTCAAATCTGCTCGAGACTCAAGATAAAAGAGAGAGTAGAGGAAGGGCGAAGGACAAAGAAAAGTGTTACCCAAGTAGATGACAGATTCTGAGCGGGAGAGAATAGTCTCAGCAGTCTTATGTGAAGACTCATCACCTCACTTCAGGATGGTGTTAATTTCGTGTATGTTAGTGTGGCATCTATATGAGGTAATCATAAGTGGTCTTGATTTGACTGTGGAGACAACAATCCAAACAAACCAGCAGGTCCATTTCTTCCAGTGTCTATGTCCACTTGCAGTGTCTCAGTAGTAAATATCCACATTCTCCCACAGAGTGGTTCACAAAAAGGGTTATGAGTTGTTTTTTTTTTCAAATGAACCAGACTGGACAAAAACTATAAAATAAAAACAATAGACAGGAAGAGTCCAGAGCTCATTCACCATCAATTCTTGGGCCCCTGACCCCTTCTTCACTAGAAAAAAACCAGCCCGGGTTTAGTCTCCTCTGGAAGACTGGATGATGATTTCAACTATTTCTTTCCTCTTACAGTGTGTAACCTGCAGGCCGCCATTGCTGATGCTGAGCAGCGTGGGAGATGGCACTCAGGATGCAAGAACAAGCTGGAAGGGCTGGAGGATGCCCTGCAGAAGGCCAAGCAGGACCTGGCCCGGCTGCTGAAGAGGGTACCAGGAGCTGATGAATGTCAAGCTGGCCTGGACGTGGAGATGCTCCACCTATTCATAGCTGCTGGAGGGCGAGGAGTGCAGGTGGGTAACTTGTGTGGCTTTATCCAACAGTTGAGTCCATCTTCAGGTGCCTGGCACTGAGCACAACTCTAGGGTACACTGCCCATGGCCATAATTGCTTTTCTTGAGAGAAAACTAAAAGAGCTGTTTCCCATGGACTCTTCCACACACGAGGCTGCCCACACTGGTCCAGGAAGGAAGGAGGCTCTCTGAGAGTCTCACCCTCCTGTGTTCCTCTCCACAGGCTGAATGGCGAAGGCGTTGGACAAGTCAACATCTGTAAGTACCTTTGCTTGCCTTCCTCCCCTGCCCTTGCACTCTTCTGACTGGGCTCAGGCTGACAAGATGAGCTCACCGTGGCTTCTTGTGTCCTTGTCCCCTCCCCACCACAGCTGTGGTACAATCCACCGTCTCCGAGTGGCTGTGGCGGTGCCAGCGGTGTCGGCAGTGGCTTGAGGCCTGGGTGGAGGAAGCAGCTACTCTATGGCAGTGGTCTTGGCGGTTGGAGGTGGCTTCAGTTCCAGCAGCGGCAGAGCCATTGGGGGTGGCCTCAGCTCTGTTGGAGGCAACCAGTTCCACCATCAAGTACACCACCACCTCCTCCTCCAGCAGGAAAGGCTACAAGCACTGAATTGCTGCCCACCAGCCTCTCGGTCCCACAGTCCTCAGGCCCCTCTCTGGCTGCAGAGCCCTCTCCTCAGGCTGCCTGTCCTCTCCTGGCCTCCAGTCTCCCCTGCTCTCCCAGGTAGAGCTGGGGATGGATGCTTAGTGCCCTCACTTCTTCTCTTTGTCTATACCAGCCCCATCTGAGCACCCATTGCTCACCATCAGATCAACCTCTGATTTTACATCATACAGTCTCCAATCACCACTGGAGGTTCACTTTTATTTACTAAATTATTAATTTCTTGCCTCCAGTGTTCTATCTCTGAGGCTGAGCATGATAAGAAAATGATATCTGATCCTTTTCATTGCAAAAAATTGCCTGGGGCTTATTTCAGAACAACTTCCCTTTTTCACTGGCTCCCAAACTTTCTTCCTTGCAAGTTTGTGAACCCACACCCCTGCAGTATCCATGAAAGCACAAGTGACTAGTCCTATGATGTACAAAGCCTGTATCTCTGTGATAATTTCTGTGCTCTTCGCTCTTTGTTCGCTAAATAAAGCAGATTTAGAGAATACAATGTATTCTTTTACTTTACTGCTTTGGGACCGTTTTGGAAGCCGCTTTTATATGTAAATGAATATTTATTTGTAAGATAATCCATTCTTTATATACATAACTCACCTCCTTTAGAGAGGGTCATCAAACTTCAGCTTAGTATCGTGACATTTTGGAGTGTGTTTCACAGATTAAATTCCATCTAGACTTTTGGCAAATGGAGTGGGAGGCTGGTCCACAGTATTATCCACTCTGGCTTTAACTGTCCACTTACCAGGTACTAGCATCCCATTCCCTCTGCCTTGGTTTCCAGGATCACTTTTCCCCTTATGCCAGGGCTCAGCCTAATTGTCCAGTTAAGAAACATATTCTTGGCCAACTAGAGCAAGTCATTTGACAAAAGAATCAGATATGTGATTAATCATTATAATTGCCCTCATGAGCAAGCTTTACCGACAGCATGTATCAAACGCATAATTAAAATGTTACACACTGAACTGTAATTGTACTTCTAGAAATGTATCTGAGAAATAGAACAAATTCAGAAAAGGTGTACCCACATGGATGTGCATCACAGAATCTTCACAACGGGGAAAGAAGTTGGAGACATTCCAGCTCAAGACTCAGGCCAAAACTCCCAGCTGCTTAGCTTCCTGAAGTAGGAGCAGTAGAAGAAAAATTTTCTTCTTCTCATAGAAAAACTCTGATAGAAGATCCACAGATATTAGGCCTAAAGCTCTGATAGGAATCGTAAAAACTAAGTCCATGTTGCTCAGAAAAGAGATAGTCCTATTCCTCTCTTTGGTGTGAACTCTCTGGTTTAACTTCTATGAATGGGAAGGAAACTCAGAATGAGGTTCAAGGTTGGTCTATTGACTTGTCCTGTCTCAGGGCCACTTCAGTCCTTGTTGCCTCCATGAGTATTTTAATTATCTTCCTAACTCTAAAAGATTCTATCACTGAAGAAATTTACTTGGATTGTACTGGTGTTTCTGGATCCTGCTGTATTGGTATCCAACTGTGTTCATCTCCAAAAGTTCCCCCAGCAATATGAAGAGCTTCTCCACTAACACTTCCTCACATTCTCAGATCTTTCTGACAGCAGAAGGTGAGGCCGGCTTCAAAATCTAAACACTCTTACCACATATATATGTATCCTTGAGAAATAATGAAAAAGAAAATAATTGACAAGAAAAATTATCTAGGAATATGTAATACAGCAAAAGGAAGTTACAAACTATCCATATAGGTTTAAATAAAATTAAAATCTTATGGTGCATGGACGATAAAAATGCAATAAGAAAATACTACAAACAACTCTATGGAAATTTGATAGTTTAGTTTGAAGAATTGATACTAATTCTTCTTTAAAGTATTCAGTATAATTCAGTAGTAAGGCCATCTGCTCCTGGGTTTTTCTTTGTTAGAACACTTTTTATTACTGATTCAACCTCATTACTTATTATTGATCGTTCAGGTTTCTAATTCTTCTTGGTTCAATCTTGGTAGATGTTTGTGTCCAGGAATTTACCCATTTCCTCCCTAGGTTTTAAAATTTATTGGCATATAGTCGTTCGTAAGTAGTCACTAGTGATCCTTTGTATTTCTGTGTTATCAATTGTAGCGTCTCCTTTTTCATTTCGATTTTATTTAACGTCGTCTCTTTTTCTTAGTCTAGTTAATAGTTTGTCAGTTTTGTTTATCAGCTTTTTGTTTCCTTGATCTTTGGTATTTTTTAATCTCATTTTTGTTTATTTCTGCTCTGATCTTTATTATTTATTTCCTTCTACTAATTTTTGGTTCGGTTCATTCTTGTTTTTCTGGTTCCTCGAGGTACAACATTATGTTGTTTATTGGAAACCTTTCTAGTTTTTTGATGTAGGCACTTATTGTTATAAACTTGTCTCTATATTAACTCTTCTCAACCTATTCCAAAAAATTGGAAACGGAAATTCTTCTAACTCATTCTACAAGGCCAGTATAATCCTGATATCAAAACCGAATGAGACACAACATGGAAGAAAATTAAAGGCCAATATCCCTGATGAGCACAGAGGCAAAGTTCTCAGCAAAATACTAGCATACAAATCAACAACACATCAAAAGAATACACCATAATCAAGTGGCATTTATCCCAGAAATGCAAGATGGTTCAACTTATATGATTAAATGTCATACATCACATTAATAGAACGGACAGAAGCCGTATGATCACCTCAACAGATGCAGAGAAACTTTTGATAAAATTCAACATCCCTTCACAATAAAAGCTCTTAATAAATTAGGTATAGAAGGAAAGTATCCCAATATAATAAAGTCCATATAGAGGACAAACCCATAACTAACATTTTACTAAACAAAGGAAAAGCTGAGCGTTTTCCTCCTAAGAACTAGAACAAAACAAAGGATGTCTTCCTCACCACTTTCATGCAACATAGTATTGGAAGTCTAACTAGAGCAATTAGGCAACAAAAAGAAATAAAAGGGCATCCAAACTGGAAAGGAGGAAGTCAAATTTTCCCTGTTTGCAGATGACATAATATATTATATAGAGAAACGTAAAGACTACAAAATGCTTAAATTGATAAACAAATTCAGTAAAGTTGCAGGATACAAAATTAATAAGCAAATACCAAGTAGCATTCTAAACCCAAAAACAAAACTAGCTAAAAAAATCAAGAAGGCAATCCCATTTACAATAACTATAAAAATGAAATAAAATTTCAGAATAAATTTAACCAGGAAGGTGAGAAACTGCAAAAGAAAACCACAAAACTCTGATGGAAATAAATTGAAGAACATACATACAAATGGAAAGATATCCCATGCTCATGGATTGGAAAAATTAATATTGTTAAAATGACAATGTTACCCAAAAGCAATCTACAGATTAATGCAATCCCTGTCAAAATATCAATGAAGTTCTTTACAGAAATAGAAAAGAAATTCTAAAAATTTGTATGGAACAAAGACCACCACCCATGCCCAATAGCAAGCAATCTGATTAAAAGAGCAAAGCTGAAGTTATTACTACAAGATGTCAAAATACATCACAAAGCAGTAAGAAAAAATGGCATGATACTGGCATAAAAACAGAGACCAATGGAACAGAATAGAGAACCCAGGAAATAATCTACATATCTATAAGCCAGCGGATTTTGACTAAGTTTTCAACAACACTTGTTAGGGACCAAAAACAGCCTTTTCAATAAATGGTGCTGGGAAAACTGAATATCCTGTAAAAGAATGAAACTAGATCCTATCTCATTTTATATAAAATCATCTCAAAATGAATGAAAAAGAGCTAAATGTAAGACAGAAAACGATAAAACTACAGAAGAAAACATAAGGGAATCACTTCAGAACATTGGTCTGGGAAATATTTTATACATAAGACCTCAAAGGCACAGGCAATGAAAGCAAAAATAAACAAATGGGATTGTATAAACTGAAAAGACTTCTGTACTGCATCAAAAAGAGTGAAAAGACAACCTACAGAATGAGACTAAAATGTTTATTTGAGTCTTCGTCAACAAGTATCCAGAATATATAAAAGGAACTCAAACATCTCAACAGCAAAACAGCAAACGAATTCGAATTTAAAAATTGGCGAAGTGATCTGAACAGACATTTATCTAAAAAAGAAGACATCTGAATGGTGAACAAACATATGAAAAAAATGCCGACATCACTAATCATCAGAGAAGCATAAATCAAAACTACAATGAGCTATCATCTCACCCCGAGTTAGGATGGTTTATTATCAAAAAGACAAAAAATAACAAAAGCTGAGAAGGATGCAGAGAAAAGAAAACTCTTTTGTGCTGGTGAGAATGTAAACTACCACAGCAACTATGAGAACAGTATGGGCTCCCAAAACAACTATGAATAGAACTACTATATGATCCAGGAATCTCACTACTGAGAATTTATCCAAAAGGAAAGGAAATCCTTGATATCAGAGGGCTTATCTGAACCTCATGTTTATTGCAGCACTATTCACAATAGTCAAGATACAGAATCAAACTAGGTGTCCAACAACAGATGAATGGATAAAGAAAATGTGGTGTATACACACTATGGAATACTATCCAGCCATAATAAAGAGTGAAATCTTGTCATTCCTTGGCAGCATGAATGGAACTGGAAGATACTATGTTAGTGAAATAAGCCAGGGACAGAAAGTTAAACACCACACATTCTTGCTTATATGTGGAAGCTTAAAAAACTTGATCTTAGAGAAGTGAAAAGTAGGACAGAGGATACTAGAGGATAGGAAGGGTAGGAGGAAGGGTGGGATAGAGACAGATTTGTTAAAAGAAATTAAATTAGCTATTTTGGAGAATAAGTTCTGGTGTTCTATATCACTGTAGGATGACTATAGTTGACAATGCATCTGGTTTCAAACAGCTGGAAGGAGGATATTGAAAGTTCTCAACACAAAGAAATGCTAAATGTTTGAAACAATA